TGGTTAATGGCATTTGATGGCCCTATATGTATCGCCTTCATGGTTAGGGATTCCCTTATTTGTATAAATAGAGGCCTTTCCTCTCCAACTTAGTAGGATAATTTTGAAGACATTTTGGATGGAAAATGGAGATAGTGTTTTGAGATAAAAAGTTGGAGATATTTTTTTACACTAAAGAAAATTTTTCTTATCTTCTTTTGCTAGCCCCTTCTTGAGTTCTTGTTAGAGATAGTGCATCCATTGTCAAGTTCGCCGAAACTATTCAGAAGGTGCTTCTGCATTAGCTAGTTTCGACCCTCGTATCTTGGGAGACAGACATCAGCGTACCTCCAACATCAATCGAGAAGTGGTGAATTTGTTTTAAGGAAACTGTAGTATCACACAGGTTTTGGTTTGCTTCTTTTCTTATCATTTGTTTTTAAATTTTTCAAAATTTAGTTTAAAAAGATGAGTTCTAATTTTTAGTTATCCATGTTAATAATTTGTTCTATTAGTAATGTAATCTAATTCATTTATATATTTTTAATTGTGTAGTTTATTATGTATTTCATTCTTTAATAAAACAATTATTTTGTCATTTCTATTTAATTTATTTTATATATTTTTCTTGTATTATTATGGAAAAAATACCAACATTCTTGAAACAGAATTTTATAAATAGGTTTTGATAAAACAATTTAGCTTTTATTATAATTTTATTCTAGTGACTCTTGAAATTAAAATTAATTTAATTGCCTAGAGTTATTGGAATTTGAGTTGTTTGTTTCAAGTAATTTATTCATGCAATTTATTTTATATTAATTAGTTATTACTGCATGAGTTATTTGATGGTTAGTGCTTAAGTTGCTAAGGTAGCGTTTGGTAACGTTTACGTTTTTTGTTTATATTTACAAAAAGTTTATAAACTAGTTTTTGTTTACTTTTAGAAAAACATAAGTTATAAACGCATTTGGTTTGAACAAAATGTTTGAAAAATTTTAAAAACATGATGTAAAAAATATATTTGTTTAGGCCTAAAATATTTATATTTATTTTTATTATTTATGACAATGGGATCATACACATTATAATTGAAAAAAAAAATTAATTAAAAAAAATTATTTGAAAAAAAAATTAATTGAAAAAGAAAATATTTGAAAAAAAAAAATTATTTGAAAAAAAAAATTTGATTGAAAAAAAAATTGTTAGTCAAATTTTTAAATTTTTGTTTAAAAACCTTTGAGTTTACGTTTTTTTCTCAAATTTATAAACTAAGACAACTATTTATAAACTAAAATAATTATCAAATAAATTTTTATGACATTTTAAAAAAAATTTGTAAATATAAATTGAAAATTAAAAACAAAATAATTACCAAACATGCCCTACTTTAATAACCCATTTAGATTTAATGATTTGAGGAGAAATAACTGATGAGAAAAAAAAATTCTTATGTTTGGTTTACAAATTAGGCAAGAGACAGAAAGAACAAGATCTCTCTTATTATGTTACTTTAATTTTTAATCCAAAATGGTGAGATTTGGTGAGAAAGCTACCGATTGGCTATATACTTGTTATAATATATCAAGATTACTGCAAAAGGAAAAAGTTCTCATCTATATCCCTATTTGACATGGTTTGTTTTAATACCATACAAACATGGTAATGAGAAAATATAATAATTGATTTTTTTTTTTTTCTCACCAAGATAAGAGATCATAATCATTTTTTTTTTTCATTTCTCATGGGAATTGCCCACTTGCATGCTTGATAAGTTTGTACAAAATTAGAATTTTGTATGACTTTGCCTAGGGTAATTGCATGTCAAGTTGGAAAATGAAGCCATACACAGTATATGACAATTTTTAAGGATTAGGAAATAGTAATGCGAGGAACTTCTGGCTTATACTTTGAACTATTCAGAATAAGTTGACGAGAAATATTCAAGATGATGTATCATGGTTTATACTTTTTGCAGATAATATAGTCTTAGTAGATGAGACTAGAGGAGTTAACACTACGTTAGAAACTTTGAAAGAAATACTTGAATCTAAAGGATTTAAAATAAGCAAAATTAAGATAGAGTACATGGAATGTAATTTTAGTAATAGTAACAATAGAAATAGAGGAGAAGTGGAGATTGAGTGTCAAAAACTACCTAAAAATGAACTTTTTCGTTATTTAAGATCAATTGTCACAACGGTTGGGGAGATTGGAGTAGATGTGGTCTATAAAATTACGGCAGAGTAGATTAAGTGGAGGATTGCATCTGGAATACTATGCAATAAACAAGTACCTACTAGATTAAAAGGAAAGTTTTGTAAAACGACTATTAGATCAGTGATGTTGTATAGAATGAAATGTTTGGCAACTAAGAAACAACACGTAAATAAGATGATTGTTGAGATGAGAATGCTAAGGTAGACGTGTGGCAAGACTAGAAAAGCAGAGTTAGAAATGAGTATATCCGTGAATGGGTAGGAGTAGTATTGATAAAAGATAAGTTGAGAGATAATAGATTGAGATGATTTTGTCATATACAACGGAAACCAACAGAGGCAGTAGTGAAGAGATGCGATACAGTGATGGTAGAGGGAAGTGTTAGGAGAAAGGGCAGACCTAGATTGACGTGGCCTAACATAGTAAATAGATAAATGAATCTTCCTAATTTGACTAACAAAATGACGTTTGATAGAATCAAGTGGCGAAGAAAGATTCATGTAACTGACCCAATTTGATGAGATTTAAGGCTTAGTTTGGTTTAGTTTACCTAGACAGTATGTAATTATTTATTCTAACGAAAATAGAAGCATTACTAGCTAAATTTATTGTTCTTGAGACCTATGCTTTCCCTCTCTTCGTCTTTGCGAACATTGATCATCAATAGGTAGAATCATTTCCAAAGAGGGTATATATTAGCAGTCCACATCCATCTTGATGTGTATATATATTGCAATGGCACACACACTTGGGTCTCTACAAAATAGCTGAGAAAGACCAAATGAAGAAAAATGTATAGGACACACTCATGCATATATATATATATATATATATGCTAGGTTTCTACCTCCAACAAGCGTATTCCGAAACTGTTGTCAGTGTTACCCAACGTGTGCTTTTTGAATCAATTTGGTAACGTTACCGGGAGGGACCGGGCTAATAAGTAATTTCATTATTTTGATAAGGGCATTTGCGGAACCCAAAAAAGTAGAAAACATACAGCAGGGAGCATCTATTCACACACAAACACCTCTCTCTATACACATCTTCCACACACAACCCTCCAACATATTTCTTCATTAAGTGTGTGTGAAAAGTGGATGTGGTGTGTGCAAATAGAACCTCCCCATACAGCATCCTTCCACTTTTTAAAATAGTAGTAGTTATACATACATATATATATATATATATATAGCTCCGTTTGACAAGAGCTAAATGGGGCTTTTTTGGCTATTTTAGTCACAAAAGGCAAAATAGGCTATTTTAGCTACAAAAAATAAAATATCACATACAACCCATAATCATTACATTCTTCTCTCACAAAAAAAGTTAAAAAAGCCAAAAAGTCAAAAAGCCCTTCCCAAACTAAACATTTTAGCCCAGGCTAAAATAGCTAAAAAAGCCAAAAAGCCAAAAAGTCAACTCACTTCCCAAACGGAGGCATATATATAATATAGAAGATTCCTTTGTAATGTTTTATTATTGTCAATAATGTATTATTTTATTTTTGCTGATAAAAAAAACATGGGCAAAATATATTTGTAGTTATTGTAGTTTTCTTCTCGGGTTAATTTGATAATTTTACATCAAATTTATTTTTAAATTTTTTATATTATGTCAATTTAGTCCAATTAATAAATCTTGTTATAAATTAAATTGAAATTAATGAAAAAAAAAAATCGATTCACTTTCTTCAAAATAATTGATTTGTTGGAGTCTAATCTAAAATAGTCCGTTTCTTAATGAATGGACCATTTTTCCATTAATTTTTATCCAATTTTTAAATGGAAATTATTAATTAGATTAAATTGACATGATGTAAAAATTAAAGAGCAAAAATGATACAATTCTAAATACCCCCAAAAAAAAAAAAAAATGATACTTTGTTAATAAGGTCTATAGGCATATGAGGAACTCAAATGGGCTTCATTATGATGTAACTACCTGTGTACAGATTGAACCGCATACATTTCTTTTCCTTTTATTTTCTTGTTTTTTGTGTACTTGCCATCAAACATGAACAGAAGCTGATAATGCAAACATATATATATATATATATATTCTCTAAAATCATATGCATTGCTTATATACATAAAACATGATAGTATCAGATTTGGATAAATAATTGGACAATTTACATAGTGTGCACAATTATCACATAAATAATTGGACAATTTACTTATTTATTATTATTCTTGAATAGTGGAACAATCTCTATATATGTGAGATAAGACTGTGTACATTAATCTATTTTCAGACTTCAGAATAAGTAGAATCTCACTCACTGAGTTGCCCTTTATTTGTAAATAGTGGAACAATTCATTAGAGCTTGGACATGACCTTATGCTTCAATGTGGATGACTGTGTTACAGGAGCAATAGTAGGTTCTTTCACAATGCACTTGAGATCTTCATTCGCATCATCCAAACAAGCCCTTAAAAATGCTACAAATACCCCTCCTAAATATTTCTTAAACAGGTCCTTATCACCCTCCCCACTCACAAAAACATGTCTTAACATCAATTTTGGATCATCTAACATGTCCATATGACCATAGTCGTTGGCATAAAAATACCAACACTGTGGTTTACATTCTGTGAAGAACTCACAATGATTCACTCCATTTGGGGCACATGCTGGGAATATGGCACTACTTTTTTCATGACCTAAGCCAGTACCGATGATAGCAACTGGGATCGGTTCTGGAAAATCGAAAGAACGGGGGACATAGGTGAGGATTTTGGGTTCGATTTGGTCATCTACGCTTCGACCGGCAACAGGGTCAAGTCCTATTAAAGCTGAAAATTTGAGGGATGTTTGGGTTTTGGCATGGCCTAGTGCAAGGGCAAATGCAGTCTTTCCACCTCTACTATGGCCGGCAACGGCTAGCTTGTGAAGATTTGCTTTGACATTTTTCGGGAGCATGGATTGAAGGCCAGTGTCTAACCAACCAGTTTGTGACTTCTCCAGCCAAATTGACTTCTTTATTTCCAGTTACAATCAGAAAGTCAATCTCGTCGTATAACTGAAAAAATATTTGATAGAGTTGGTTCACATCGGAAACACAAATATGCGTGTCACTACCCGTAAACGTGAGGGTTTATGGGCATCTAGTTAAATTGATCAATCTGGATTAGGAGTAAATGACATTCAAGTTTGTAGGTGGTCCAAATTAAATTTAATCCCTAAATAAATACATATATGATAACAAATATTACATGAAAGCATTTGCCTAAGCAACAAAGAAGCTAATTGATGCATTTTTAGTGCCAATATTGATATTAACAAGGAAAACAATTAATTATGAAGTTCTCGGAAGTAGTCGAGTTAGGCCCAAATTAATTTCAACATCAAACTATAGAAAAAATAATAAATAAATAAATATGGTACTTAACACGATCATATTTCCAACATTACGACACTGCTGTAACCTTACTGTTTGGATAGGTAATTTGAAAATTTAAGTACTTTTAAGGCTGTGTTTTGATTATGAATTTGAGTAAAAAAATTTAAAAAAAGAAAAGGATAAAATGTGAATAAATATAATTACATTTTACTCATATTTTCATTTTTTTCTTTTCAAATTGTTACTTAAATTCATAATTTACACAAGTTTAAAAGTTTTCTACCTCTTGCCATAGCTTAGCAATCAATTCTTTTTCTTTATTTATTTAATTTTTGGGGATTAAATATATTTTTTATTCCTAAAATTTCTGTTTTGTATAATTTTGTTTCTTAGACATTTTAATTGTGTCAATTTCATTGTGAAAGTATAAAATATGCATTAAATAGATCATGGTTGTTGCGATCAGTATTTATAGTCAGAAATAGATATATTTATATATATATATATATATATTTTAAATTTTTTAACATTTTATTTGTGTCAATTTCATTTTAAAAATATTAAATATGCATTAAATTGACCATGACTTTCTTTTGGGTGATTATTTTTGCCCTTTCAATTTGGGGTTAGCTTTCCTCCGGTCTGTGATTAGACTGGAGGGTACTGTTGGGTCTGTGGAGATTTATCACAGATCTCGTTTTAATAATATGAATCATTGAATGTGTAGAATTCGTAAAATACTATATGGTTGTAAAAAATTATATTTATCAAATATCAGTAGTTATGTGATTAAATCAGTTTTGTATAAAAGCAAAAGACGGTAAAAAAATAAACGATTGACAAAAATCTAATCCAATAAGATAGCTATCGATATCCGATTAACGTAATTTTTTACAAACATATAGTACTCAACGAGTTCTACAAATTGTACAGTTCCAATTATTAAAATAGGACTCATAATAGACTTTCACAAGTCTAATAACACCCTCTAGTCTGATCGGACCAAGGGAAGCCCAGCCCATTCAATTTCTCCACAAACCCACTTTGTGAGAGCACAATTCTGAATGCATGTGAAAGGCAGCTAGGTGTGAAGAGAAATTTATATAGTGTAAGTAGAATCACTTTATGTTTTGAGAAAATTATAAATATATATATACACTAAAGATTTGACTTTTATAATAAATTAAATCTTGAATTTATAATTTTATTAATTTAAATCCTAACGAGTTTGATGAGGGCAGAAGATGGTACGGATGAGAAGGCAGCACAAGAATTTTTTTTAATTTATTTTAAATCTAAATAATTTATCTATTTTTGTTAATTAAAATTGAATGATAAAAAATATTGTAAATATTTTATGTACATTTATATTGAGTTTAATGAATAAAATATTATTTTTCTGTACCCAAAAAAAAAAGATAAATAATTTAGATGGAAAACAAATTAAAATATTAAAATTTAAATTGACAAAATTAAAAAAATTAAGATTTATTTTGTTATAAGAGTCAAATTTTGAACTTAAAAAAAAAGGATAAATTACAAATGCACTCCTAAAGTTTGCTTAAAATACAGATTACCTCATGTGGTTTGAAAATTTTCAAATACCGTATTGTTAGAATTTTTTATTTAGCAAAATTAACTAAAAAAATAAAATTTATAATTGCTCTTTTATATAATAATAAAATTACCTAAATTATTAATTGAAATATATTTCTAACATCATTAAAAACTGTTAATTGATTTGATGATTTATTAATAAAAGAGACAATTTGTTATGAACTTAGAAACCTCAGGAGTGTAATGTAATTTTCAAAATCACAGAGGGCGATTCATATTTTAATTAAATCTCAGATGGTGTATTTATAATTTACACTAAAAAAAAGAAAACATTTAAACCAAGGCGAAATTTAAGTGCTTTTTTAACGAACACATGCATTAGGGTAAAAAATGTAATTAGGATTTTTAAAATTTTATTTTTATTACAAACTAGCTTAGCAATTAATTCATGTCCAACTGAGGCTTTGTTTGGAAAGTTGAATTTTTAATTAAAAAGTCAAAAAAATCACTATAATTTGTCACAAAACTCTTTCTATTTTCACATATTTTTTCATAAAATATCAAAATATTAATTAAAATAGTCGATTCCGAAACCTAAATGAGTTTCCTACTAGTTCAAAGACTTCCCCATGACAATAAGGTAAAAACTGACTTAGGACAAGAGAGGCTTAAGTGTATTTTTTTGATCTTTTATGAAAAATATGTAAAAAAATATAAAGGTGATATGACCTAAATAAATGCACTTATTTAAGGAATACCAAACAAGCTCTTAAGAGCATCTCCTACACTTGCTCAGATACTTTATTAAATTTAAATTTGATGAAGCACGTCTCTTTTTTTCTGCTCCAACCATAAACTCATATCAAATGAAGAAGAGGTCAGATTTTTCATCAAATCAAGGAAGCGTTTAACCTTTTATTAAATTTTCAAGGCAACCGTTGGTGGACGACCGGCCGGTCAACCAGATGGATGACTGGCTTGGAGAAGTTTTGTTGAAAATTTCTCTAGAGTAGACGATTGACTGGACAACCGGCTAGATTTGATGAAATAATTGGAGCGCAATATATCATATCAAACTTTTATTCAAATTTTTATTCAAATTTGATAATAAAAAAAAAATCTGAGTAAGCATTGAAAATGTTCTAACAAGGACACGTCACATAATTATACCGTAATAGTCAAATATTAATAAAAAAAAATTGTCTAATATCTTACCCCAAAAAAATCATCATTTAATATCTTACAAAAAAAAAATCAAAAGGAGAATTTCATCATTATGAAAGTGCCCAAGAGCATCTCCACCTGTGCATCAAATTTTTCATTAAATTTGATTAAAAATTTCATTTGATATTAAGTGCTTTTTTAAGTTAAATCAAAGCATCAGTCGACCAGGCGAACAACCGGGTAGATTCGACAGGCTAGTGTAAATTTTTCATAAATTTTTATCTTGAAATGGTTATTCGAGGTTTGACCGGGAAGATGACTAGGAGGACGACCGGAGGGTTGACTGATCAGTATAATTTTTTTACAAATTTTGGTAGTCGTCTGGGGGACATCCGAAGGGATCTCAGGGGGATATCCGATGGTGAAAATGCAACGGCTATGAATAATGATTTGATGAAAGGCATATTGGTCCTCAATTTGATGAAAGAAAAGTGAAATCTTTAATCGAATACCTATTTGATGAAATCATTGGAGTAAAAAAAATGAGTAATTTTTCACCAAATTCAAATTTGATAATAGATTTGAGTAAATATTAGAGATGGTCTAACAATTAAAAGTTAGGGGTTTGAGATCTCATAAACAAATCACAATTTTTTTTTTTTTTTTGATCTTTTGTGATTATTTTTTTTTAAATTATGTCAAAAAAATTTATTTCTTAATCCGTCCTACATAGACTAATCTAAAAAGAAAATTAAAAAAAAAAATTACTTACAAAAATTGAAAAAGTCAAAATAAGTTTAAAAAATTTATTATTTTTTACTTATTTTTATCTTGTCTAGACTTTTTTATTTTTTATTTTAAATTTAATTTTTCAATTCGGAGGGATTGAGTTGAATCTAAAAACATAAAAACAAAATTTAAAAATAAACACCAAAAAAGTAAAACCAAAAAACTAATCGAATAATTATATTAAAAAAGGGGGGTTAAACTAAATAAAATGATTAATCAAAATGTTTGAAAAGGTTTCATCGTCGCTCATGATTTTTAAGACTGTGCTTAGTTGATAAATTTAGAAAAAAATTTGAAAAGAAAAAAAATATATATATATATATATGTAATATTATGTAAATATAAATATATTTTATTCATATTTTATTATTTTTTAATTTTCGTTTCTAAATTCATTCCTAAATTTTTGAACCAAACACAGAGAGAGAGAGAGAGAGAGAGAGAGAGAGGATGGAGAGGGAGAGAGACCTGAGGAGCAACGACTATGAATCCATGGGAAGATATATGTTGGAGAAGCTTTTCGTAGGAGGTATTGTGGATCAAGAACCCATGGAAAAAGAGCAGCACCGGATATGTGCCTTCCAACTTTGGCGTAACAATTAACAATGGCTTTGGTGGTGGTGATGATTGATTTGATTTCTCCACTTTCATAGATTTCACACTCAAGTTTCCCCCTTCAAAAACATTTGTAGCCAACGCCGGGCTTGCTACTGCCATTCTCTCTGTCTATCTATCTCTCTCTCTCTCTCTCTCTCTCTCTCTCAATTCAGCTCTAATTTATTTTTTGAGCAACACGTCTGTCTTGTAAATTGTTTTTTTCTTGTGGAAAAAATTCAGTCTATTCCTTAAGTTTTCATTTGGCATTGATTTTTTTAGTTAATTTTTTTATGTTGAGACTTTTTTAATCTCGTTTGATTTGATATTTTTTTTAGAAAAAAAATATAATAATTATAATTTAGATGTGACATTTTATCTTATTAACTTATGTAGTTAATTTTGTCTTTTTATACTTTTTTAGCCAAAAATCTAAAACCAAACAAAACTTAAATTATCAAGAATAATGTTTGAGAACTCTAATGCACCTCTAATGATGTGGAGAGTACTCATATGAAGGTAGCGCCCACACTCCTCTCTCTATCTCTCTCTCTTCCATCTCGTTAAAGCTTCATTTAAAATTCTAATATTAGAGTTATGTATCATTAAATTATCAATTTAAACAATTATTCCCTTAAAATATTGACATTAGTCTGCATTAGTCTCCTTAAATTATCAATTTAAACAATTATTCTCTTACAAATATTTAGGGTAAATTACATTGGCACTCTTGAAATTTAGTCTAATTACATCCCACACCCTGACATTTTAAAAATTACATTCACACCCCTATGGTTAATAGTCTCATTTTACAAACTCCCTACTTATATAAAAGGCAACAACTCCTAGCACAAAATAAAGGAAATTACAATGGAAAACAAAAAAGTAAAGAAAAAAAAAAAAAAAAAAAAAAAAAAAAAAAAAAAAAAAAAAAAAAAAAAAAAACAAAAGAAACAAAAGAAATAAAGAAAAGTAAGAAAAGTGAGAGTGCATAACTTTAAAGTCTTCATTCCGTCTAAATAATTACAATGACGGGGGATTAGTGTAATTTCTCAAATATCAGGGAATGATATGTATTAAATTCAAACCTCAAGGAGTGTAAGTATAATTTACCTAAATATTTATTGACATGAGTTTTGTGCATCTCCATTAAGCTAGTTAAAATTTTGTTATATTTTGACTTGATTATTTAGTATGTTTGGTTTCAAATTTCTGAATTCAATTTTTTTAAAATTGAATACTTTGTTTTTTGTATTTTTTTTATTTTTAGTGAATATTTTTTAAATTTAAAAAAAAAAATTACTTTTTTTAGATGTATCTGCGTAGTAAATTATTTGTGAAAAAATATTTTAAAATATTAATAAATATACAAAAATATGGAAACTATACTAAATTTTCGTATTTTTTTATATTTTTGGTATTTAGTGAATTCTTTAAAGTTTTTTTTTTACAAATATTATATTTTCTAAGTATATTTATGTTAGGTGTGTTTAAAAATTTTTAAAAAATATTGCTTAAAATATTAAAAAAATTTAGTGAGAAAAAAGAAAAAAAGAAATCTGATCCGATCAAGTAGCTATCGATATCCAATCAACGTGATTTTTTTATAGAAATAAAGTATTCGACAAACTCTACATATTGAACGGTTTGAATTATCAAAATTAAAGCCGTGATAGACCTCCATAGACCCAACCAACGTGCTACAATCTGATTTCAAACTGAAAAGGAGCCTGACCCTTTCTGAAATGAAACTTCAATAATAATTATTATAGTAGCTAAAGTTTCTGTCACTCGTTTTCATTACAGTCTCTCTGTTGAGAGAAGGTATCTATTTTCCGTTTAGCTTTATGGGTGTCAAATTTAAATTTAAATTTTAAAAAATTGTTCGGATATGTAGGGTCCACCCATCATTTTGATGATCTGAATTCCGATAATTATAATCTTATCATTTTATTATGTTTGTGTTTTTTTTTTTTTTTTTTTTAAAAAGTTAGATAGTTTGTTTTCAAAAACACATTAATCTTATATTTTCAGGTACTAACAAGATAAAAATAATAAGGACACGATTAGACCTAATTATTTTTGTGAATGATATACGGAGGGCCTTGTAAATTTAACGATTTTGAATTATCAAAACAGTATTTGTGGTGAGTCTCACATGCCAAAACAATTATTCCACATTCAAATTTAAATTTGAGAGAAGGCAATCCTATTACTAACTTACTCTAATTTTAATTTTGGCACGTGGTGATTGATTTGTCCTGCAAATTTAATGTCACTACAACAAATTAAGATTTTTGTAACGCCATAATTTTTATTACTTGATTATTATTACCAATTTTTCATTTTTAAGTCCATTTATAAAATAATAAAATGTGGAATCATGAAAAGAAAGAATAAACCATAAATGTCCCCTCTCATAAATACATTGATCAAATGTTCAAATACAATACTTGCAACAAATGACTTTAGAGTTACGTTATAGAATTTTAGAATAGACAACCACAAGGAAAAGAAATACATTCTTTCTACCACACCTTGGCATTTTGCCTAAAATTAACAAACTTTAAATCCCACAAATAAACTAAACTTCTTGATTCTTGGATGATGCATCTGACTCGTACCTAAAATATGTTTTAACAATTGGGATGAATAAATATGTCCAGTAAGGATCTCCGATGATTCTAAACAATAATAACTTATAAATATATATGATCATGAATGCTCCAAATCAATACATATACATATAATATACATTGTTCTCTTTGATATCCAAAATAAACATATAATAGTATATATTTCCAAAAGAATCCATGTTTGGTAATTTAAGAAAATAAATTCTCATCCTTCCAAATTCACTTTCAATTATTCAAAAGTTCTCCGCTCACTTTGTTTATAATCAAAACCATGTTCATGTAGATAATCTCAATATCTAAAAATTAACAATCCATGGATAACACCCACAACTACTACTTAAGCTTGTTGATTATCAACTACAACATCGTCATGTACTCAACTATATTTTCAAGGTACATATTCATCAACCAATGACTCAGTAGATATACATACACCGACTGTGAAATTTCAAATACATAACATCCCATGGTCTCGGCAAGCTCCACATTAGAACCGCACTTTACTGATTGCTAGCCAGAATGAATGTGGTACCTATATATAGCACGACCTGCTTTACCAGTTGCTAACCGGAAGGAACAAATTACCTCTATATAGTATCGCCTGCGTTACTGTGGCTAACCAGAAGAAACGCATTACCTCTATATAGCCCAACCCGTTTTACTGGTTGCTAAGCAGCCCAATTACATTCCACAAAACATAAGCTTCTCAAATTACTTTCATTCATTCTTATCTAGTTTCATGATTACACAAACCCATAATATTTCCAAGTCCCTGTAAATTACACAATTATTCAACAACACATAACCTATTTGACAACAATGAATATCATCCTCGATTGCCAGAGACAAAACCTCCAAGCATTAATTAATATGTGCTCTTATAAATAAAACAACGTAAGTCTCATAATTTTCGTACCTTCAATAACATCAATATAGTCTAATTCAGCTCTTAACAAAACATAATGTTCCATGATTTCCATAATCAAATCCCTTGTTTTCAATAATCAATAATTTTCAACCTAGCCCAAATTCATGGCAACCAATTACTTCTTTCTCTTCCTATAACACATATCTGATTCTCAACCAAAATCAATATGGCTCAACGTTTATAAAAACATCATTTCTCATAAATCATAAATTAAACAAAATTAGGAGTTTTTACATTAAACATCGTAAATATGTTTCATTAGCTCACAACTCCCATAATCAACAACAAAATTCAACATTAAAAACTTTTAATTCAAAACCCTAACCTTCATCTATATGCATTCTGAAATCTCACAATAAAATCATAGTTCATGTAATAAAAAAAGTACCGTATATCTATCTATAACGAAATATTGAAAAGAAGCAAAGGAATACCTACCTGTTTAAGCAAAGAGAAGAAACACAAAAAATCAATTTCACCAAAATTTTGATCCAATCGGTGAAAATGTAGCCCTCATTGAGCTCGTCATTTTAATCTAAGGAACTTGTATCGAAATCTTCTTTGATTTGCTTGGATTGAAGGATTTGTGTAGTTTTGACAATGGTTCTAAAAAAGATGAGAGAAACGAAAAGAGAGAGACAGAGACAGAGACAGAGAGAGAGAGATGGTTTGTCGAAATTGAATAGAAAGAGATTATGGGTCTATATGTAGTGCAAGGAAAAAAAAGTGGGTTTGGACCCACAAATCTGACTCAAACATAGCTAAAACACGCTAAATTCAAATAGACTGCTCGAACAGTCAAAGTTGTGCTCAAGTGGTGAATTAAAACTCTCAGTATCTCTACTTTCTTGAATAGACTACTCGAGCGGTCAAAAGTGCGCTAAGCGATGAATCAATGCTTGCAATGTCTCAGACAGTTTTTAAAAATAGAGTTGGAAGGGTCTATAGACCGCTAGAGCACTCAAACTTGTGCTTGAGTGAACTATGCCCACAGCTCAGATTTGGAAACTTTAAATAGATATAACTCTCTCGTCTAGACTCCTTTTTGGGTCATTCTTGTACCTAAATCAAAGCCTAAGATTAAGATTTTCAATGGTTCTAGCCTCACATCAAGATTGAAAGTGCAGAGAGAAAAAATGGTAAAAGAGTGATGATTACTCAAAGGATAATAATTCGAATCAAAGCTTTTGGTCTAATCTCACTCCACCGTCATAATGCCACCCCAATTTATACTCTAACATCAACTAAAGAGGTTCTAATTATGATAATAAGGGTGTCGAGGGTAATTCCACACTTTTTCGATCCATCCTTACGCTCAGAACTCGAACATTCTCACTCGGTCAATCGCCAAGAAAGTTATTCAACTCTCAAACACTGATATATCACACGACACTAGAGAATCTAAGTATAAAATGATAACTTCGAAAGGCACACTCAAATTGGGTCAATGACCTGGGACATCACAACCTCCCCATCTTAAGAAATGTTGTCCCCGAAATTATGGCAATAAATCATTAAAATGGTATGATAACAATTGAAATTAAGGTTCAAGGTGGGACGATCACAAAAAACTACAACCACCAATTCAAAGTCTAGATCAATACTTGAGATAGTTCTCTAGATTTTGGC